GACACGCATCAAGCAAAACGTGTTTTCAATAATTTAATAATATCGTAATTTTTGAACAAATTGTGTTTAATTATTGTATTGATTTCGAGCATAAAGACGAAAGTGGCGACTCAATCAAGGGCCAGGATTCAATCTCGTGACGCAAACGCGTTCCCACTCATTTGTTTTTGTATTCTATTCTGTCATTCAGTCTTTATCTTATCTGCTATTCGTCTTAATTAAGTTATTAACCCACAGTCGGCGATTTTTTGGATGGTGGGCCACGATGTTTTGGATTTTCGCTGCTGCTGATGGAGAAATTTTTCAGTGTTAGAATACGAGACCATAGAAAATTATATCTTTTCAAGTGTTCCTCCAGCGGTGATATATGATTCTTTTTTTTTCACTTTTGCATTTGTAATTTGGCAATTTAGCCCATGTCACATGCAACATGATTCTCGTTTTTTTTTTCTTTTTTCACTTTTCTTTTAAAATTTGGCAATTTAGCCCATGTGACATGCAACAAGTTATCTTTTAATTTTAAAGGTTGGTTTTTTTTTTGTTAGCATAAAATAAGAAATTGACTACAATACCGATATATATTTAATATTTAAAGTAATCACACATTTAAATTGATTTTCTTTATTAATTTTTTATCCACATTAGAAACAGTGGGTCTCTTATTTGTCACTATGTCATCGTATAATGGAAAAATTCAATAAATTTTCTATTAATTGTATGATATTGGTAGGAAATCTGAGTCATTGTATGAAATTGAAAAGGAAAAAAACGCTGTATAAATTTACAATTGTATCCAAACTTAAAAGTGCAACATATATTTCATCCTAAAAAGATTGGAGTGCATTATCAACAAATTCAAACTAACTGTTCGTTTAGTTTTTAGCAAGTTATTTTAGTTTGGGTTGGTAGACCTCGAAGCCTGAGAGTCTGGTGGCTTGAACCCAATCATCGGTTGAAGGCAAGAGTTAAGAGGCCATACCTATGAAAAAAGGAAAAAAAAAAATCATTAACTCCAATTATGTAGAGCACTTTGGTGCCTATTTATAAGAATAATGGCATCATACAAAATTGCATGAATTACAGAGGTAAGTTATTGATTGCACAATGAAGTTCTGGGAGAGGATAATTGAGCGTAGAATGAGGCAAGAGATATGAGTCTCAGAGAATTATTTGGGAACATGCTAGGGCGCTCGACAATGGGGGCAATCTATCTCTTACGAAGATTGATGAAATGATATAAAGATATGACAAAGGATTTGCACATGGTCTTTATAGATTGGAAAAAATGTATGATAGGGTATCGAAAGAAAATCTTTAGAGGATTCACGAGAAGAAAAGAATACGACTAGCATATATCCAAGCAATAAGGGATATTATGATGGAGCAATGACTGCAGAAAGAACTCATGAAAGACAAACTGAAAGCTTTTCTAGAACTATAGGGTTACACCGAGGCTTAGCTTTAAGTCCTTACTTCTTTTTGCATTGGTAATAGACGAGTAACGACACACATTCAAGATGATATTTCTTGGTGTATGTTTTTCGCACATGATATAGTGCTAATAGATGAAACGCATAAGTGGTAAATGTGAAGCTTAACCTTTGGTGGGAAGTGTTGGAAGCTAATGATCTTCGCCTAAGTAGGTCAAAAACAGAGTGTATTGCGTGCAAGTTCATGGGAATGGGGGCAAAAATGAGATGTGCGTGAGATTAGGGATTAGGGAGTACCAAAGTGTGAACATTTTCGTTGTCTTGGATTCTCTTGCAAAATAATAGAGAATTAAATGGAGATCTCAAGCATAGAATTCAAGCTGGATGGATGAAGTGGAAGAGTGCATTGGTTGTGTTATGCGAATATCATATGTCACTAAAGCTCAAGAAAAAAATTATAAGACGGTAATAAGGCCAATGATGCTTTATGGCACGAAATGTTGGGCGGTCAAAAAACAACAAGTAGAAAAAATGAGTGTAACGGAGATGAGATTGCTTTGCACCCAACTTCGAATCTCTCTCGTCATAAATTACAGAAAAATGATAAACATGCACACTCTGTGGCCTCTTATACATTCTTATTTAATCTTGTTTGTTATTTTCGTATGATTTATTTAATTCAATGATTATAAATCAAGAAGAGTGTGAGAAACTAGAAAACATGTATGTGATAATCATCTTCTTAAATTAATATTTATTATTATTAGGGCAGGTGAAGGGTTCAAAAATATAATTTTAATTTAGAGGAAGGGAAGGTTTTAAACCTGAACGCTGGATAGAAGCCCACTATTAAAATATTGGATAACAACATTTAGATGAGGGCAGGTGAAGGGTTCACAAAGAAACATACAAGTTGAGCTTACAAAGTTTACCACCTGGCAAGCCACGTTCTACTTTTACTTGAGGACGCCATATTGTTGCCAAGCAAAATTCCAATACTAGCTGGTTAATCACTAGAAAACATTGTTTGAATTTTCTACAAGTTAATCATAATTATATTTAAATAAATACGATTATTAAAAGGGTAATTACGTTATTTACCTACTAAATATATGGGGTTTTTATTTTTATTTTTATTTTATTTATTTTATTTATTTATTTTTTATCAACGAGGCAAGTCCTCAAATGCTGATTGATTCTAAGTAATAAACAACTATATAATTAACTACTTAGTAATATGATTTAATAGTATTCTATAAATGAAACTTCTTATGCTCAAATATCATAATTGGCGAGTTTGTTACCCATTTATTTTCCACTCCTTATTGTATATATATTGTTGTATTAAAAAACACAACTAAATAACTAGACAACAAAAACAATAACCAAGCCTTATCCCACTAAGTAGAGTTCTGTACAAATCCCAGAACGCTATTATGCTAGGTTTTGTGCCAAGTCTTCCGTTAGCTCCAAGTACTCTATATCTTTTCTTATAGTCGCTTTCAAAGTCTTCTTATGTCTTCCTCTACCCCTTTTACCCTGAGCCTCTGTCTTATAGTCGCATATTATAACTGGAGTATCTGTAGGTATTTAGTTCACGTGTTTAAATCATCTTATTAACCATTTTTTTCTCATCTTGTCTTCAATTGCAGCCACTCATATTTTACCTCGGATATCCTCGCTCTTGATCCTATCCTTTCTCGTGTGACCACATATCCGACGAAAAAGAATGGACACATTACCTTCACCAACTAGTTGTTAACGCTCAAATATAGCAAGGTCAACACAAAACTAGTATGGTCAACTTTGCTGGGTGTGGGAGTGTTTGATAATTGAAGACAAAGAGATTTAAGTGGTTCATCCCAAAGAAATGGGCTACGTCCACTTAAAATGTATGCTATATACATGTTGGGTTACAAGTAGTCGAAAAGTGGTCAAGCAGAATGATGACCTTTATTGGTCAGTGGTTTTGAGACTAAAGTATAGATCAGCCGAGTGCCTTAATCGTAGTGCTCGATGGACTCGAATCATTCCCATGAGGAACCAGCGGACCGTTTGATCGTGGTCGTTCATGTACAATCCTACTGCTACAAATAAACTCAATTATTTTTTCACTTTTTCAAGGAAACTACTCGCTCGCCTTCGTTCGCAACCTAACCATCCCCCACTGCCTTTTCGTCACCGATTACGCTAGAAAACTGACCTTCATATCTCTAAAACAGAGCGGTTGGGGATTTTTAGTGAATTTTTGGGTGTGAGAGATGAGATGGGTTTGTGGGAAAAGGAGGTGAGGAAGATTAGGGATTTTAGTTGCATTGTTGGTAAGGCAGAAAAAGAGACTCTCTGCCATTACTTTGGCTGCATTACTTGTTTGGGTTCAAGAGAGAGACGGTGAGAGGGAGAGAAAAGGCCGGTGGAGTATCGTTTTCTGTGAAAACACAAAAACAAATTGGTATTGATTTGTGGCCGCATGATTAACACATGAACGGTCAAGATTAAACGTTCGCAGGCTCCGCATGAGAAGGATCCGACGAGAATCCGAGTCCGTGCTCGATAACTCAAGGGGTAGCGCTTAATAACTCAAGGGGTAATGCTCGATGCTGGAGCCTTTCAAGTTCAACGTCATGAGCTTCGTAACTCAGCCCATTTATTCTTGATCTAGTGATGTTTTTTGTCACAGTAATGTTGAAAGATTGTCCCATTTTATAGTTTATCCTCCTTAACAGATATGCCACCTTACCGACAAATAATTTATTTAGTTCAGCTTTGGGAGCAAATTGAATTCGATAATTGCATGTTTGGTAAATCACGATGTATTTATACTGTTTTTTTCCCTTCCAATAAATGAAATATCGTACTCTTTAATAAAACAATCTCATTAATAAATTGCAGCAATATTTCCCCAAATAAGAAGTCAACTGAGTATTCTATTTGTAGACATTGTAGATCTGAATTTTCCATTTGTAACTAATACACTTTTACTGTCTTGTTTCCATTTGTAATTAGATGCTAATTTTACCAACATTAAGATTGTAATCAATATTTCTAACCCACATTAACGCTCAAACAGAGATCTAAACCTTTATTAGTTACCAGAAAACTATATTATCCCATCCCTACAAAGTAAAAAATGTTGGACTTATTACGCACACGTAATTATCCATTCTTGTTTTCTTAAACTGTTGAAATTCGTAGTACAAGTAGTTAAATTTTTCTTCAAAAATTATACCACTTATATCATGAAACTTGTGTTCTCGATGCATTAAAAAAATTATTTATTTATTATACAGATGGTAAAGTTTGTGTCTATCTACCCTAGTTCACGGTCAACAGTCAAAGAGTTCATGCTGTGAACGCACGTGACATACGTGTACGCGGGCTTTTGGAAGCTGCCGATTAATCGGTAAAAGTTATTTCCTAGAAATTTCGACTGGGCCGCTCACTCTCCTCTTTTTACTTCTCACTTCCCTCCCCATCTGACACTCAACTCAAATGCACTCCAAATAAATCCCCTTTACCCATTTCCATACCTCTCCCAACCAAATATCTCTCTCTCTCCTCCGTCTCTCTACTTTCTCTCTCTCTACAACTCCCAACCAATCCTTTTACCCTTCAAACGGTGCGGATCACATGACGGACTACCGGATACCGCCGACGATGAATCTATGGACGGACGACAACGCGTCCTTAATGGAGGCGTTTATGAGCTCATCCGATATGGCGTCGTTTTGGGCGGCGCCGCCGGCCCAGCCCACACCTCAACCCGCTCACGCTCCGCCCCAGCCGCAATCCTCGGCGTCCACCTCAGACTACCCCAAGGCCCCTGTTGCCGCCCAATTCCAGCCGTCCGCCACGCCCTTCAACCAGGAAACCCTCATGCAGCGCCTACAGGCCCTGATCGAAGGCGCGCGTGAGAGCTGGACCTACGCCATCTTCTGGCAGTCTTCCTACGACTACTCCGGCGCCGGCGCCGTTCTTGGATGGGGCGAAGGATTTTATAAAGACGAGCGGGACAAGGTTAAGGCCAAGGCGAAAACGACGACGTCCGCCGCCGAACAAGAGTACCGCAAGAAAGTCCTCCGAGACCTGAATTCCTTGATTTCCGGCGCCGACACGTCAGCAGACGACGCCGTCGTTGATCAGGAAGTGACTGATACTGAGTGGTTCTTTCTGGTGTCCATGACTCAGTCGTTCGTCAACGGCGGCGGGCTCCCGGGTCAGGCCTTCTTTCACTCCACCCCGGTCTGGGTTGCTGGACCGGACCGGCTGGCGGCCTCGGCGTGCGAGAGGGCGCGTCAGGGTCACGTGTTTGGGCTGCAGACTATGGTTTGCGTTCCGACGGCGAATGGGGTTGTGGAGTTGGGCTCGACCGAGCTCATCTACCAGACCTCCGATCTGATGAACAAGGTCAGGGTTTTGTTCAATTTCAACAATTTGGAGGTCGGTTCTTGGCCTATGGCAGGCGCCGCCGCCGCCGCCGCCGATCAGGGCGAGAACGACCCTTCGCTCTGGCTCAACGACCCGTCGACCACCACCATGGAAGTGAAGGACCCGGTGAATGCTTCGGCACCCACCAGCACCAGCAACCAGCCCATTTCAAAGCCGATTCAGTTCGACAACCACCCGAGCTCCAGTAGCTTATCCGAGAACCCAAGCCCGGTTCAAGTACCACAATTACAGCAGCAAGTACAACAACAACAGCAAACGCAGAGCTTCTTCACCAGGGAGCTCAATTTCTCCGACTACAACGGATATGACAGGAGCAGCGTGAAGAATTCGACTTCCAATTCGCATTCGTTGAAGCCCGAATCGGGCGAGATTTTGAATTTCGGGGAGAGCAAGAGGAGCTCTTACAGCGCCAACGGGAAATTGTTCTCGGGGCATTCCCAAATCGCCGCCGCTGAGGATAACAACAGCAAAAAGAAGAGGTCCCCGCCGTCGCTGGGTAGCAACGAGGAGGGGATATTGTCCTTTAGTTCGGGAGTGATTTTGCCGTCCAGCGGTGTGGGGAAATCCAGCGGCGTTGCCGATTCAGACCACTCGGACCTCGAAGCGTCGGTGGTTAGGGAGGCGGATAGTAGCCGAGTTGTTGACCCGGAAAAACGACCCAGAAAACGGGGACGGAAACCGGCGAATGGGAGAGAAGAGCCACTGAATCACGTGGAAGCAGAGCGGCAAAGAAGAGAGAAGCTTAACCAGAGATTCTACGCGCTCCGAGCAGTAGTCCCAAACGTATCGAAAATGGACAAAGCGTCGCTGCTTGGAGACGCCATATCCTACATCAACGAGCTCAAGTTGAAGCTGCAGACGGTAGAGACGGATAAAGAGGAGTTGCAGAAGCAATTGGAGTCGATGAACAAGGACTTGCCCAGCAAAGATTCGAGGTCGTCGGGTTCGACCGTGTTAGAGCACGAAATGAAAGGGTCTAGCAGTAAATTGTTAGACATGGACATTGACGTGAAGATAATCGGAAGGGACGCCATGATTCGAATTCAGTGTTGCAAGAAGAACCACCCGGCCGCGAGGCTAATGGCGGCTCTCAAGGAGCTCGACTTGGAAGTACACCACGCCAGCGTTTCTGTAGTCAACGATTTGATGATCCAACAAGCCACCGTGAAAGCGGGTAGCCGGATTTACACGCAGGATCAGCTCCGGTTAGCTCTACATTCCAAAGTTGGCGATGCCCGCCAGATTTGACAGTCCATCCGGTAACATTATCCTATGCGATCCGATCCGATCCGATCCAATTGGTGGTTTAGAGCGATGGGACATTTTAAGGCTCCCAGAAATGCAGAGAGCTCTGCTCTGTAGTCTGTAATATAGTTATTCTACGACGTCGTACGTCGTCGTCTTTCGGGTGGCTTTTGCTTAGTTCGTAATTGGTTATACTAGTATAGAATTGAGTTCAAGGTTATCTGGATTGGAGGAGTTTAAGGTTGTTTGGATTTGAGGAGCCGAAACCACTCGAACAATTTTTCTCTGTTCTCTTTCTTTTTTTGGAATGTGTATATGTAAATTGGAAGCTCTCAAGTATGTATTATTTGGGAATTGTGTTTCAGAACGGAGACTCTGCCTCGGGAGTTTTTTGCTTTATCTAATAAGTTGAAATTTCTGCACGAGTTTAGTTGCTCTACTTGTTCCGGTTGTTTTCGTTTTTCTTTCGTTGTTCCAGCGATTTTCTAATCTAATTTAAATTAGATAGACGGAGGGAGTCTGAGACTAGTCAATTTGTCTTTCGTTTTTCTAACAAACGATTATCTATGTTAAGCGAATCGAACTTAAAACTTCTTATTTACAAGTAAAAATGAATACCTGATGAATTCTATATCGGCAATAGAAAAAGAAAAGACATAGTTTAAATATCCTACCTCCAATCTAATTAACATTGAGACCTTTTGTAAAACTTCACATCTGACGGATTGTACACTATGGGTGTTGTTGGAAGTGGGTACAAGAACAGTATGAGTGTTGTTGAAAGTGAGCTTTCGGCCGTCTCTATGATAATTCTACAATACCACTAAACTATAGGGGGCTAAGGGGTGGTTTGGGAGTGAGGTGCTTAAAAAAAAAACACCCACAAGAAAAAGCTGTGAGGGTTTTAGGTATTTGGTAAACTAAAAAAAAAGGGCTTATTTTGGAAGCTGTTGTGAGAATAAGTTGAAATCAAAGGAAAAAGCTGAAGCTGATATTTGCAGCTTTGGAAAACTGACTTTTTTTCAAATCACACAGAACTACATTGCTCCTTTAATGAAAAGACCCACTATCAAACTGTTTTTTTTTTTCCAAAAGCACTTTTACAAAAAAGTTTATCAAACACTCTGTTGATTTATTTTACAGCCACTTATTCTCACATCAGATTTTTTTCAAAGCACAACAATACCAAATCAGCCCTAAGTAACGTAGCCAATTCGTTTTTGGCATGTCTTTTAGTTCAATGAATTGAGCACGTTATTTTTGGATGTGAAATGGCTTGTTTTACTCGGAAGAGTCACAGGCTAGCATATGAGTCTACTTTTGATGCGGAAAATGAACCGACACTTAAGGACGAAATAAGGGTCTGCCATGGGTGAAATTCCTTGCTTTATTTGGTAATAACCATTCTGTAAAGTGTAGCAGCAGCAGTTGCATCACTGGAAATGGCAGTGAACATCAACAAAACACCAAAAAATGTTTCTCTAATAACATGATAGTATTTACATGTGGGAGAATGAATCGGTAAAAAATTCAAATCTAAGCGATATTACTTACTAGTAATGAGGAATATCATTATACCATAATATTAAGTGGCTTAAAAAATTTGGTTTTCTCGATTTGTCCTTTTTTTTCCTCTTTATTTGTTTGATTTGGTATATTAATGCAAACATTTCTTTTACACTGTGCTTGAATGAATAAAATTAAGATTACTAAGGAATTTCACAATGGTGGAACTTTATCTTTTACAAAACTAGTTTCAACGATCCAACTAGCAAACTTGTTTGTATAGACTCCAAGATTGCATATGTAAAAAATTGCAAAAAAACAGACAATCAGATATTAGGTAACGAGACGAAACCTTTCGACAGTTATAAACGAAAACTAACGATTTAACAGTTATTTTAACTCCAATTTTATTTTTAATTTTATGGTCCAATCTTCTCCATATGTATTCTAAGTTATATGATCTATTTATTGTAGAATTTAAATTAGGAATCAAACTTATTTCAAGAATATTCCAACGACACATGTGACGATTGGTAAATAATTGATTCCAACAAAACACCTTAAAAATTTATTCTGACAAAGCAAAATTTTTTTTCGGAAAAAATATAATTATTTCTGACAACAACTAATCACCCTCGAAAATATAAAAGCATTACCGAGAGGACTTTTTTGGCCTAAAAAATATAAAAACATTACCAAGAAGACTTTTTTTCCCTTGAAAATACTAAATCAATTTCATCAACATGAGTAAATGTGAAATCCCGTTTCTGGATTTCACTGTTGTAATCTACATATTTGTATTATTGAGACAATTTATATTTTTGAATAGTTCTTGAAACCATAAACGTATAGGCGAAAGACATTTGAAGTTGTTTTACTAAATTATAGATTTTTAAATCAATTAAACTTCCACAAGGAAGAAGCTTAATCAGATTTAAGCAAAAATAAGGGGACCAATCAGCTTAAAAGGAGAAGGACCAATCAAATTAAAGGGGGAAGATTTAAAAAAAAAAGGGGGGGGGGGAGGGTCTAATTCTAACCCGTTTTGGGGGGAGATTGGACCCATTAACCCACCAACTTGACCTGCTTGTATCTCCTCCGTCCAAACTATGTTTTGAGTGATCTTGCTATCCATGGAAAGCTCTTGACGAGCCCTACTTCTCTTTAGTGTTAGATTTCCCATTTTCTTTTCCATCTTTGCAGTTCGAAGCCACAAAGCCACGACTTTTCCAGCGGTTTTATTATTTTTCCGGTGATTCCGGCAACCATTTCCTTCGAGTAAGGTATGAAATTTCATCCACTTTTCATAATCTTCAAGTTGGTATGCTTGGTTCATGCTTTCGTATTCATTTTAGAGTTTGGTGTTTAGAACCCTAGAAATCCGGTTTTCTTCGGTGAATTTAGATGGTTTCCGGTTAGAATTTATCGTCGGCCTAGTTATGAAAAGTGTTTCCCTTGTTGAGCTCTAGCTACGATGTAAATTTTCGCTCATTTAGTTAATGTTGAAAATTCAAGTTTTCTAAACCCTTCACCTTGGCTACCACCACATGTGGTGGTGTGTGGGACCGTGCACAAGTGTTGTCTAAGTACCAAATACCTTCTAGTGACCATATGAACCTATGTCTAGCTCGGTTTCCTGAAATTCAATTGTTTGGTGTGGTGATCAAATTGGACCACCACTTGTTTGTGTGATTGACGACAATCCAATGATTGGATCGTCATACAATTTTGTGAGCACCCTAGTTATCAGTTGTTGGACCTTTGAGAACTTACAGATCGGAAATCCGATGCGTGGATCTTCCGGATTGAGTAACCTTAGATTGTTGACCTTAATGGACCTACCTTACCAACGGTTGACGTTCTAGTCAATGTGCTCTACTTTAGAGTGTCGTTTATCTCTAGTTTGTTGTTGAGGCTTGATGGAGCTTAGTTGGCTCATCATGATGACGTGTCGTTTCCAGTTGACGTGTATCTCGATATATGTATTAGTGGCACCATATTGAGTTCTACTTGTTTATTAAATGTCCTTTCTATTGAATTGTTATTTTTAGCATCGATCTATGTTTAATTGTGATTAGACTGTAGCTTGGAAACGTTTATGAAATGTGGTTAGATATATATGATGTGTATGATTGTTTTTATGACGATGTGTACCCAGAATCTTATGAGAAGTATTATGTAGAACTTTTATGCTTATATGATAAGATAGTTAGTGGTCATGAGAAGTTGATAGTGCAAGTGATTACGATGTAAATCATAGTGGATAAGATAAGGGCAAATGGTTTGTGTGTTGATCTAAATGCACCATGTAACAGTGGTACATGGATGGTCCTGCTTGGTTAATCCGCGATGGGGGACCATATTATTTATGGATCGTGCTTGGTTAATCCGCGTTGGGCGATCCTTATGGCCATTTATATTTAGGGGTTATCATGCTTGGTTGATCCGCGTTGGATGATCATTGCCTAATAGTTCTGTACGTGTGACCCTGCTTGGTTAATCCGCATTTGGGGGTCACTACCTACTTGGTTATCTTGACCTTGGTTGGTTAATCCACGTTAGGGGACCATACTATATATGGATCGCTCTTGGTTAATTCGCGTTGGGCGATCCTTATGGCCATGTATGCTTAGGAGTGATCATGCTTGGTTAATCCGCGTTGGGTGATCACTTCCTAACAGTTGTAGGAGTGACTTAGCCTGGTTAATCCGCGTTGGGGGGGTCACTGCCTACTTGGTTACTTTCTCATGGGTGGCTCTGCTTGGTTAATCCGCTTTGGGGGGCCACTTCCGGTTTGGTTACTTACTTATGTAGGCTTTGGTCGAACGGCGTCCCTCTAGCCCTAGTTTTGAGAATGATGGTTTTGAGAATCTTGAGGTTTGAATTAGAAAAGCCGTTAGAAAAGCCGTTGGATGTCTTGGTGACTCCTTCAAAGATTGCAACGACTTAATTATGATTTCATGAAGCATGATTCTATACTCGATGTTTATAGATTATGATTGATTGTCTGTTTTTACTAAATATCACATACTTGTATTATTGTCACTCACCCGAGCCTCATAGTTTATCTAAGTGTCTGATTGGTCCAATGTACCATTTCCATGATGTAGGCATTGATTTTACATGTGACAGATCTGGGTAGATTACGAGAAACCGCTTGATATCTTGGATTATGTTGAGTGGTCCGGAATCTTTGCTCTTGCTCATTTCCATAAGGTTAGTATAGAACCCTAGATTCAAGCGAATGGGAATTACCTGCACTAGACCTTGTGAATATAAATTAGATTTACAATGTTTATTACTTATAATCCAATTAGGGAATTATATAGAGTTCTTTAACTAGATTCATAAAATGATATGTTATCGCATTGTTTGATTAACGTAGTTAAATGCTAAGATCATGCATTTTTAATTCATGAATTGTTTAATTGACGAGATTGTGGAATGACGTTGAATATGATTGTTATTATTATGATTATTTTAGTTGATCAAGGTAGCTTGAGATTAATATTGTGTTTCGTTGGTTATTTGATATGTTACATGCTATGGATGTATCACTCTGAAGATAAAGTGAATGATGTGATAATTGTTCAAGTGTAATGTATGACGAACTATGAATGGCTTGATCCCTATTGAGGGTACATAGGTAGTCTAACGAGGACGTTAGATGCAGCCATAAGATATAGAAAAATCACTACGAAATTTGATTATGGAGTTGTAATTTCCCATATTCCGGAGGCGGAATAAGTTTGAGATACTAGTTTTGGTGACGTCACGTGTTGATCTTGGGCATATGTTGGGATCGAGGTGTGACAGTAAACCTTCGAAAATAACCATTCTATTTCCGATAAGAATTTTACTCATTGTTAATACAACTAGTGCCAATTCTTCCAGCCAAACAAAAGTGCATTTCCGACGAAACTTGAGACTTTTTCCGAGGACATTATGTGCGTTGGTAATAAAAATTTGTTTCATGCCAAGTTACCAACGACCCATATTTTATGGTCGCAAAATGTGCTTTTTACAACGGTTTTTTGGAGCCCTCAGAAAATCTTCGTCGGTAATGACCATTTTTTTTGTAGTATTATGTTGAGTTCGCTCTTTAGTTATAAACTAAATACTGTTGTGTGGTGCCTTTAGCATCATGTAAAACATCAGTCGGGCGGCTTTGGAGTTTGTACCACCTTCCCGATATGTGGCAGAGAAAATAAATTCATTAAGAGACAAGGAAAAGTACGATGGTTATAGTATTACAAAAGTGTCCTAAAGCAAATAATAAAATGATGTTTTACGAAGAATTTCACATGTTAAACTTATTGAGTCTGATCAAGAACAAAGATTATTGTTTACAACTGTCTCACTAATAGGTATACACTTAAATAATAAGTTCAAGAAATATGTAATACATGGAATGTAACCTAAAAAAGTTAAATTCATGAGAACTTTCTTGGGAGAGGAATTGGTCTTGAGTCGTCGACATCAATGCAAGTATGTAGATGCTCAATTGAGAGTGGGTTAACTAAACGCGATTAAAGAGTTCTCATACACATCTTACATGAGAACTCCTAGTTGGTATAGTGCATGTAGTCTTTTGGCTTAAAACACCACAGTTATCTTATGAATAAAGTTAAATTCATGAGAACTTTCTTGGAAGAGGAATTGGTCTTGAGTCTCCGACACCAATGCAAGTATGTAGGTGCTCAATTGAGAGTGGGTAAACTAAATGCGATCAAAGAGTTCTCATACACATCTTACATGAGAACTCCTAGTTGGTATAGTGCATGTAGTCTTTTGGCTTGAAACACCACATTTATCTTATGAGTACATTTTTTTGATCATTTAACAATGCAACAAAGACCATGCTCCACTTAGGACATGTTCCATATATTGTTGAGATCATTAACCTATCCATGGAGGCATGTGAGGGTACAATAATGGATCTCTAACCTTCAACCATAGAAGGAGAAGACTGTGTAATATGACTCATAAAACAAAATAATAAATTAAAAGAAGGATTTAACTAATAATTGATTAGTAAGAGTTCTAATAAGCAACTGCCTTACTAATTAAAACCTTATGGATCGTACACCGTGAGTAAGGTAGAAATTGAAGAAACTTCATGGAAATAATTTCTTGTTTAATGTTAGGATTGATTAGTAAGTTAATTAATCAAACAAATAAGTTCACATTGGATTTTTAAAAATTTTTGGGTTTCATGACCCAATGGGCTAGTAGTTTTCACTTAATTGCAATGACTATATAAGAGGAGTTGTAGCCTTCATTAGGGCTTTGTTTTGGTGAAATAGAAACACCAATCTAGATTCCCTCTACGGGGCCAATCACTTAGGGAGGATTTTGCTAGCACCAAATCCTCCCCATGTCGCTCCTCTACGCTTCACATATTTTTTTTTGGTGACTTAGAGTTCCCATTCTTTTCGGACTTGGAGATCCAATTCAAATCAAACAAAAGAAGTAAGGATTGAAGCCCTCACATAGATTTACTCATAGATTTGATATCAACTATAGAGAATAAATAGATGTGTTTTTAATATTTTAAGCTCAACAATGGTCACTGCCTTTCTCATTAGAACTTTGAATCCCTTTAGGCCTCGAATTGCACCAGCCCATATGTGTCAAGAATCTCTCAAAGTTTTTCCACTCATCAAACCGTCGAGTTAGTTTATTTGGGCCTTGACCAATTGCGTTTGGCCCAAGTCCCATGCAAAATTGGGACATCATATGATATCTCCCATTATTTTTCAAATTTTTTGTCTCTCATCTCCAACCCTCTAAGGTCCTAATTATTTGGAGTTCGCAAATATTTGGCAATTTGGTAAAACATTATTACTTCTCTCCCCTGTTTTTTTATGGTTTTTTTCTTCTTTCTATTGTTTGAATTGGGTTGTGGTTGTACACAAAGAAAATCTTTGTATTTTGCAAGGTTCTAAAAGATGTTAGGCGCTAGTCAGGCGGCTGGCTGGGGCCTAGCGTCTAGACGGATTTAATTAAATCTATGATATTTAGTGTAAATAAGTGTCTATTTATACTTAAAATGTATATAATTTCATCATAAACTACAAAATAGAATGACATATATATTATGAGCTATTGGAACATAATGAAAACATGGGAAACAAGCATATAATGTGTGTTCATTTAAGTATTCAACACGTCTCTTAAAATTTATTGGAAAAAATAAAATGCCAAATGAATGTTATCTATTTTCTGTCTAAGTGAGTCGTAACCTAGGCGGGTCTTGGCGGGTGCCTCAGTAGGTCTAGGCACCATTTCTTAATTTTCAAACGCCTAGCCATTAATCGGGACGGTGACCAACCACCTAGCGCCTAGGCAGAGATTTTTAAAATAGTGGTATTTTGCACCTCATTTGTCGTGTCAATAATAGATAAAACTATTGACCAAAAGAATAAAATATAAGCAGATAAAGTTAATTAACTTCTACCATACCATTGCATGTAGTCCAATATCCTAGTGTACAGGGTATTAAGTTTTTACTCATTGCGTTCTAGGTTTGAAACTTCTCTCTCTAAATTATTGTAAATTGTAATAGTTTTGAACTCTCATCCTTCCTTTTAATAATAGTATGTAAAAAAAAAATGAAAAAAAAAATCACTATGCTATACCATGCATGAAAATTAGGCCAATTGGATAAGGTTGGCATTGGCAATTTGTTGGCCCGAATTAGAACTGGTTAAGCTGTGTTTCCGGTTGGCAACACCCTAATCCCAATACCAAAGTAACAAAAATAACATTTGGTTGTTATTTTTCCAACCACAATGAGTTTGCCTCCAGAAAAACTAACTCCCAGAAAACATTGTATATCTCAATCTCTTTGTCTCTCGTCTCCCTAATCCATCACTAACATGTTGTGATGGTAGAACCCTTTGCATCTGCATCCCCACCCATTCTGCCTCATATGCAAGCTTAGCCTGAAGGCTGTAGGGTTTCACATACATATATACATATATACATATATATACACTGTAAAACCATGAGCCTTAATTGCCTATCATGCCAGGTCCGGCAAAGAACAAGCTCCTCCGGCGACAGGGATCATGCGAGCAAGGAGAAAGCTTATCGGAAACTCTGTTGCGTAAACATCAATATCGACAGAAGCTGGTCCGGGAACTTAACTTCGCCACCTTACGAGCAGATTGAAAACTCATCTATCTTCGTGCTGGAGAAGAAGGGGAAGAAGGGGCCCGGTCATCGCCGGCTTATGACTACAGGCGGAGTTGCATATGAAGGGAGCACTGAACCACGCCTGGTCAGGAGCTCCGGAATGAGAAGGGATTGGAGCTTTGAGAATTTGTCGCTCCTCAGAAATGAGAAGAAAGGGAGAAACTCATAAATTATAATTCGCATTAGTTAATTTTTTAATATTTTCATCGTATTATTTGTTTATTTATTTTCTGAGTTGTGTTTTTATCTTCTAATTCCTCATTCAAATGTACATGTTGTTTATTCCTAAATATTCTAATTAAAAAGGAGAAGCAAAGTGAGGGTCAATTTAGTGACTCCGCCAGCGAACCACCAACATGCACATATGCACAGACGATTCACATGAAACAAATTTAGATGCAATCCAAGATACATGGCGAACATTCATTCAATCCTCACAGATGAAACATTTGGGGAAATTCTCTACGTACTTCATGACCAGTAACCATACATTACGATGAGTTTGACGACTTACCTGGTTTTCTAACTAAATTGGTAACAAGGTTCAAGACTCTTTCTCCGTCATTGCTAGCCTCCACATATGCAACTCAGTAATCAACTAACTTCGACTCTACGCTTCCTGTTTCCCCGTCCCTTTTCTGCCAGTAATCAACTTACCCGAAGATTCAGACATGAAACCCGTTAAGTACCATACCATACCATTGGAATAGTTAGGACTCCTCTGCCATCTGCTTTAGATTTTCTTCTTTCTTGCATCGGCTTTCCAATCTCTTCGACCAAAGTTAGATACATGCATTTCGCAGTTATTCTGGTTCACAGTTATCTCAGACAGGGATTCAATATCTAATTGCGGCTCTGCCTTAGGTCCAAACAAGAACACACTTTGACCCTCACTGGTTGACGTAAGAGTAGGGACAGCATAACCATTAGGGGTAATTTCAGCGGCCTTAGAAACATGAGCACTCCTTGCATCCTTTTTCCAATCTCGTTTACAGTACACACGGGGTGTGTAAATGAACTCATTTCGTTGCACTTCTACTTCTGGTGCAGTTGGTTGCTTTATAATGCTAGACTTCTTCAAATCTGCTTCAAGACGCTTACGGGCTCTATATCTACGTTGTCGTTCTCTGTTCTTCATGCGACGAGTCTGAACATCATTACGATTTCTGGTGCGCTCTCTTTGATCAATAGGCTTCATTATAAAACTATCTTCTGTTTGAACAACGTTCATATCTTTGCCTGTCTCACATTCAGACCAAGTCTAGTAATAAAGCATGAACAAACAAAACAGAGGAATGAAAACAACACACACAAACAATGTTTCCCTACTTCACAGTAAACTTACCATTAAAGTTTGCTTGCAGCTAAAAGTTGACAACAAGCTTCAATTACGAAACCCCTTGTAATGTTGGATGGGGGAACATGACTTGCTCCATCTATAATCCCAACAATGCACCGCTTTAAGTGGTCTGACAAAAATTTGACAAAAATAGGTCTAGCATGAAGAATAATATGGAAAATGAACAATTAATGCACATGCTTAACAAACCAATAGAGAAAACATGATCAGGAATTCATTTGATCGAAAGTACCAGCCAAGCATACTCTTCCCTTAGACATCACATTTGTGAGATATACATACGCGGTTTTGTATGATTGAGGATCATGCAAGTTTCAATTTACATCAAGGGCAAAAAATAAAATCTGAACAAAGGACATCTCAAAATTTGCTTTAGACCCTCAAGAAAAGTGCATTTAACAACATGTGTGGTTTCCTATGGTCGAGGATCATGCACGTTGTTAAATCCCCTGTTGTTAAAAGGTATTATCGTTCAACAATGTGCATCATGTGCTGTCTAATAAAGGAGTTTACATGCACTTGTTGTATACATTTTAGCAAATTCTATGCCATTTTGTTAAAAGGTATTATCTTTCAACAACATGCATCACGTGCTGTCTAATAGAGGAGTTTACATACACTTGTTGTATACCTTGTGGCAAATTCTATGCCATGCTGCCACGAGTTATCTTTTGTAAAAAAATATCCAAACCAATAATTCTCCCATATTGAAAGACATGGTTCATACACAATTCCAACTTGATAGTAATACCAAATATTTTTAATCGTCGGTTACATTAAGTAATTATAAATTTATTAAAATATAATAATATTAACACAAAATCCATGAAATAAATTTTAGTTGGTATCTACTGTAAAAAAACAAAATCTTTCGGCCCTACATTGACAGTAACTAACTACACATAGATGCTGACACCAGCAGCATCTACAATCTTTGGCCAAAGATCATAATACAGCTTCCCAATTGGATCAACAAAAGCAAACAAGATATCTAGAGCCATATCTAGTAAAAAAAGGACAAATATTAACAAAAAGCAATATCAAAACCACTTCTCTAGTACATGATTTTGTACTTGCAAACAGTTAGACAAACGACCACAGGTGAGGGGTTTTCTAATAATGTGATGTCCTTCAGTATCTGATTTCTACAAGTTGGTGTCCTTCACTATCAATCAGTTAGGATCCAAACAAACTGTTTTCTAATAAAGACCAACAAAGTACCACATCAAATTGAATACCTTAACTTGGTGCGATATAGTTTTACTAAAGCAAATAGAAAAACCAATAAAATGAACACTTGAGCAGTAAAATGAACTGCTTTTACTACAGAAAGTTTACAGAGCTACTTGGCCGCACAAGTTGTGTTGGAAACCTACGAGAAAATTGTATTTGAAATCAATAACAAAATTCAAAACTTGGTAGTTGCATTCAGTTATCTCATAAAAGCAAATAATCTCGAAAATCGCAAGACTATTAGTTGATCAACATGAGTTTAAAAAGACCTACAAAGCATACTAGATCAATAACAATGTCCATTTTCAGTATTATGCTAGCCCTCCACAATTATATAACATTACTGTACTAAGTTACTATCAACTCCTTGTGTCAGCAAAAACTAATCAACTGAATCGCTAACGATCATCCAAACATTGACATCACATGTCTTTCTAATAACAGAATATGACATTATGTGTTTTCTGTTCCATGTTCTATACATAATCAGTTTCCATAAAATCAAACCCTAAAAGTATAGAACTAAAATGTACAACAAAACATCTTATTGTAAAGGCAGACAACATCAAACCCTAATCAGTTCGGGAGTTATTACCTGAGCTATTTCGGCGAGCTTCAGAGAAACAAATCGACTACAGCCTCCTCGATTTGGGCTTCCAACAACCGCTCAGAATAACGAGAAACAGGCAGGAGACAACCAAGGAGGCAGACGAGATGGAAGCAGACAGAGATGCAGAGAGAGGAACATATCCCTAATGAAATTCAACTAGCCAAATGGCGTTTCTGAATTCAAATAAACAAACTGGAAGTGAAATTCAAATAACAAATCAAAGCTCTGATAAAAAAATAAAATAAAAAAAGCTCAGTAACCAAATGAAAACACACAGAGAAACTTCACAAAATTTAGCAATTGAATTAGGGATTTCCACTGAGATTGGGTAACAATGTGAAGAACCATATGAAAATACGGAGATTTAAACTATAATTTAAAAGCAAAATTCAAATTTGAAACAGTAAATTACTCACCTGAGAGTCGGGAACATCGCTCATGGAGAGAAAGCCCGAAATGAAAACCCTAACCCTATAAAATTACAGAATACGAAAGAGACTTGCCGGAAGAACCAGAGGAAAGAATCGGAAACCCTAACCCTTAGCACGATTGTTGTTGAGGGCGAGGCTAAAAGTGGTTAGAACGGGAGGAGACAAAGACAGTCTGAGAAAGGCGAGGAGGGAGGGCCCACGAGATAAATATTGTGACGTGTCTAACAGCGAGTGTTACGGTTGCGCAGGTTTGATTTCCATTACTGTTAAATATTTTACTTTTAATACTCTATCTTTGACAAAAAAAAAAAAAAAAAATTTTACTTTTAATCTAGTAATCTGGGGTCTCGTTTACAAATATTTTTAAAATGACTGAAAATATGTTTCTTATGAGAAACACCGGTTATGCTTTTATTTATTATTATTATTTTTTATTTAAGGAAACACTTTAACCACTTTTTCATGATTTACTTGCATTTTAATTAAGAATTTGTTTAAAAAACATTACCATAAAAAACAATTTCAATTATTTTAAAAGCACTTCTAATCAAACCTTAATTGATGTCAAATTGTTTGGAAGTGTATTGAAAATAACTAAAAACATTTTAGATCATTAAAGGTGCTTTTGACTGCGGTTGATAGAAAAATTTATAAGTGCTTCTAGGTTGAAAAAACACTTGAAATATTTTCTAGAAGAAGCACCTGATGCACTTCTTCAAGTACTTTTCTATAGGATTTGCATTTTGTCTTAAAAATTATGATGTACTCCAAATAGAAGGAATGAGGATCCTCTCCAAATCGTCTTTGTGCCCGAATATCATTTAATCACGTATATTCATGTGTGATTATAAATCATTTAAAATTATTTTATTTAAAATTGAACACAAGCATTATTTGATGAAAAATGATCACATGATGTATGATGAACGGACACGATTAAAAAATCTTCGGAATCTACATAAAGGAAATCCGGAAAGGATCCTCATTCAAATAGAAGTGCTTTGACATGAAATCGCTTATGATAAACAAATGCTTTTTAAAAAAGCATTTCAAAACGGGTATGCCAACGCATGTTTTTAAAGAAGCATTTGCAAGCGGTTATGCTACCCACGTGTTTTATCATTTCTCACCTACCCAAAATAAATAAATAAAAAAAACTAATGAAAAAGACTTGAAAACTTTGAGTTTTAATCAAAATGATAAAAATATGTTGTAAGTGAATAGTACTATAAGTGATTTTTTAAAAGTAAAAATGTCATTAACGATAAGTGAACAGTACCAACATTAAGACTCCCATTAAAAAATGGAGAATGCTAAATCTCTCTCGTTTTCCTTTTCATTTTGGGGTGCTATCCACACACCCATTTTACTTCTTACACACTCCTTATTAATTTTTATCTGTTAATTTTCTTCAATTCATCATATTCGACAGTTGAAAATTAGAAGGGTGTGTGAAAAGTAAAATGAGTTGTGTGAATATCATACCCTTCATTTTTTGTCTTCCCAACTTATCACTTGACACATAAAGTTTTTGGGTTAATCTCAATTTACTACCCTAAAATTTCTTGATTTTCAACATTTCATACATCAAGTTTTTTTCGTCCTAAAGTGGTATCTAAAGTCATAATTATGAGACAATTTCATACTTCCGTTAAGTTGTCTGTTAAAATAGATGTTAACTTGTGACGTGACACTCGCATGGACATTGAATAAAATTTAAAAATTATAAAAAATTAAAAATTGAAGTCGTCGTCCCAAGCCTCGCAATCCTCCATCTTTCCTATCCTTCTTATTCTGTTGTAGGTGCCACGTCATAAGTTAATGCTTGTTTTAACAGACGCTTAACGGAAGTATGAAATTGTCCTATAATTATAACTTAGGTACCATTCTGGAACGAAAAAAATTTGATGTACGAAATGTTGAAAACCAATAAACTTCAGGATAGTAAACTAAGATTAACCGAAATTTTTTTTACACATTAAACTAAAAAAATTACAAATTACAAAAATTCTGTCTTTCTATGTGATAATATATGTCAAGTCCATACCAACAAGAATTTTTTTCATTGCAACCAAAATATTTTGAAAAGAGACTACTACTGAATAACACCATTTCTCCAAATCAATGTGTCTTCTAACGATTGAACCGCTGGAACCACATTTGATTAGAGAGAAATCAAGGCCGAATGTTGATATATATTCGATACAGGATCTACAACAATTCAAACAAATCTCTTTCTTTTAGGATTGAAAACAGACAATCTAGTGACTGAGGCAGCTAACTGCCAATGCCAATATGCAAAACGGATAGCAATACAACAATAACAAAACCTTATCCCAGGGATCGGCACACAACAGATAGCAACTTAAAAGAAAATTGTCACCACCAGCGACAGAAGCTACCACAACAAAATGCATTATTGTTACTGAAAGAGCATGTCAATTCACATTTCTTGAAACTTGTTAAGCATACAACGAAGATCAAAGGCATGCCCGTCATTATGACGTGGTAGCACTGCATAAAAGAAGCGACATTCGTCCAAACCAAAAAAGAAAAACACACAGACATTGAAATCCCATCAATCCTCACAGATGAAACATCTGGTGAAATTCTCTATATGCTTCATTAACAGTTATCATACATTATAATGAGTCTGACCACTTACCTGGTTTTCTAACTCAATAGGTAACAAGGTTTGAGATTGTTTCTGTCATTGTTAGGCTTCCGAATATGCAACCCAATAATCAACTTAGAGTCTACGCTTCCTGTTTCCTCGTCCCTTGTACGCCATTAAGAGCATAACTTGAAAATTCAGACATGAAACCCATAAAGTACCATACCATACAAATGGAATAGTTAGGACTCCTCGGCCATCTGCCTTAGATTTTCTTCTTTCTTGCATCGGCTTTCCAATCTCTTCGACCAAAATTAGATACATGCATTTCGCAGTTATTCTGGTTCACAATTATCTCAGACCGGGATTCACTATCTAATTGTAGCTCTGCTCCAGACAAAAACACACTTTGACCCTCACTGATTGACGTAAGAGTAGGGATGGCATAACCATTATGGGTAAATTCAGGGGCCTTAAAAGCATGAGCACTCCTTGCATCCTTTTTCCAATCTCGTTTACAGTACACACGGGGTGTGTAAATGAACTCATTTCGTTGCACTTCTACTTCTGGTGCAGTTGGTTGCTTTATGATGCTAGACTTCTTCAAATCTGCTTCAAGACGCTTACGGGCCCTATACCTACGTTGTCGTTCTCTGTTCTTCATGCGACTTGTCTGAATATCATTACGGTTTCTGGTGCGCTCTCTTTGATCAATAGGCTTCATTATAAAACTATCTTTTGTTTGCGCAACGTTCATATCTTTGCCTGTCTCACATTCAGGCCAAGTTTAGTATAAAGCATGAACAAACAAAACAGAGGAATGAAAACAACACTCACAAACAATGCTTCCCTACTTCACAGTAAACTTACCACTAAAGTTTGCTTGCAGCTAAAAGTTGACAACTCGCTTCAATTACGAAACCCCTTGAAATGTTGGATGGGGGAACATGACTTGCTCGATCTATAATCCCAACAATGCATCGCTTTAAGTGGTCTGACAAAACAGGTCTAGCAGAAAAAATAATGGAAAAATAATCAATTAATGCACATGCTTAACAAAACAATAGACATCACATTTGCGACATCCATACGCTGTTTTGTATGATTGAGGATCATGCAGGTTTCAATTTACATCTAGGGCAAACAAATAAATTCCGAACAAAGGGCATCTCAAAATTTGCTTTAAACCCTCAAGAAAAATGCATTTAACATGTGTGGTTTCCAATGATCGAGGATCATGCATGTTGTTAAATCCCCAGTTGTTAAAAGGTATTATCTTTCAACAATGTGCATCACGTGTTGTCTATGAGAAGTGTTTACATGAACTTGTTGTATACCCTTTGGCAAACTTCTATGCCATGCTGCCACTAGTTATCCTTTGTAAAAAAAAAAATCAAAACCAATAATTCTCCCATAGTGAAAGACATGTTTCATACACAATTCAACTTGATGGGTAATACCAAATATTTTTAATCGTCGGGTACATTATGTAATTATAAATTTATTAAAATATAATAATATTAATGCAAAGTCCATGAAACCCAAAATTTAGTTGGTATCTGCTGTTAAAATAAATAAATAAAGTCTTTCTGCCCTACATTGGGATTGACTAACTACACATAGATGATGACACCAGCAACATCTGCAATCTTTGGCCAAAGATCATAATACAGCTTCCCAATTGGATCAACAAAAGCAAACAAGATATCTAGAGCCATATCTAGTAAAAAAAAAAAAAAGAATAAATATTAACAAAAAGCAATATCAAAACCACTGCTCTAGTACATGATTTTGTACATGCATACAGTTAGACAAAAGACCACAGGAGAAGGGCTTTCTAATAATGTTGATGTTCTTCAGTATCTGATTTCCACAAGTTGATGTCCTTCACAATCAATTAGTTAGGAGCCAAATAAATTGTTTTCTAATAAAACCAACAAATTACCACATCAAATTGAATACTTTAACTTGGTGCGATATAGTTTTACTAAAGCAAATAGAAAAACCAATAAAGATAAACTAGTAAAATGAACTGCTTGTACCACAGAAAGTTTACTACTTGGCCACACAAGAATACTCCATCAATCTTGTGTGGGAAACCTATGAGAAAATTGTATTGAAAATCAATAACAACTTCCATTTTCAGTGTTTTGCTAGCCCTCCAACCAACATTTAATATAAAATCACTGTATTACTAACTATCCACTCCTTGTGTCAGCAAAAACTAATCAAATGAATCGCTAACGATCATCCAAACATTGACATCACATGTCATTCCAATAACAGAATATGACATTATGTGCTTTCTGTTCCATGTTCTGAATTCTGATCAAACCCTAATAGTATAGAACTAAAATGTACAACAAAACACCTTACAGTAATGGCACACAACATCAAACCCTAATCAGTTCGGGAGCTATGACCTGAGCTATTTTGGCGAGCTTCAGAGAAACAAATCGACTACAGCCTCCTCGAATAGCGAGAAACAGGCAGGAGAGAACCAAAATGGAAACAGAACGAGGAACATATCCCTAATGAAATTCAACTAGCCAAAATGGAATTTCTGAATTCAAATAAACAAACAGAAAGTGAAATTCAAATAACAAATCATAGCTCTGATAACAAAACTCAGTAACCAAATTAAAAATACTTCACCAAAATTTAGCAATTGAATTAGGGATTTCCACTGAGATTGGGTAACAATGTGAAGAACCATATGAAAATATAGAGATTTAAACTATAATTTAAAAGCAAAAATCAAATTCGAAACAGTGAATTACTCACCTAAGAGTCGGGAAAATCGCTCACGGAGAGAAAGCCCGAAACGAAAACCCTAATCCTACAAAATTACAGAATTGGAAAGAGACTTGTTGGAAGAATCAGAGTAAAGAACTGGAAACCCTAACCCTTAGCACGATTGTTGTTGTGGGCGACGCTACAAGCGCTTAGAAGAAGAAGAGAAGGAGACAAAGACAGTCCGAGAAAGGCGAGGAGGGAGGGCCGACGAGATGAAGGGGTTTATACAACCCTAATTTTCTCTCTGACAAGTTTACCTCAAAATTTACCAAACAATCACTACTACGCATTTCACAAGCACAATATAAAAGTGCTTCCGATAGCGTTTAGCAGAAAATTTCAAAGGCGTTTCTGACCGTGTTTAATAGAAAAATTTAAAAGTGCTTCTATTTGAAGTGCTTTCTAGAATAAATATATAATGGGTTAGTTTGGGGTTGTTATGATGTGAAAAAAAAAATGCGGTTTTCAAAAGCAGCTTTTTGCTGTTTTGAATCATGATTTTGACAAAAACCACATTTTATTTTTCATTTACCAAACACAATTTTAATTTCAGTTTTTTAAAAAGGGGCCAAATCAGCCATCTTTTATGAAACACTTCAAGTATTTTCTCTCAAGCATTTGCATTTTATTTTTCGATGTACTCTAAATCGAAGTGCTTTGACATGAAAGCGCTTTGGATCAAAAATACATTTTAAGGAAGCATTTCCTAACAAGTATGCCTACACACATGTTTTATCTTCCCACCTACTAAAATTGGAGAATGCTAACTAGACTTGGCAGTTTTTGACACGACATGGTGACACGACACGAAAACGACACGAAAATAACGGGTTTCGGGTCAACACGATAACTTATCGGGTCACTATCGGGTGACCCGTTAAGAACCCGTTAATAACGGGTTCTTAACAGGTATACACGCGGGTAACACGTGGGTAACCCGTTTCGACCCGTTAAGAAAAAAATTATTTTAATAATTTTAAAGTTTAATTACTAAAAGATTTATTATAAAACACAATAGTCATATTAATATATACAATATATTCTATATTAAATATATAGTTTTGTATTATTGTTCTATATAAATTATAAAAAAAAAAAAGTTTTAGTCATTATTTATTTTTATTATGAGAGTTCCTTATTATCATTACTAGGATAAAGTTTACACAACATATTCTTGTACATAAATTTTACTAAATTTTACATAACATACTAGTATAGTATTTGTATATGCAAGAACTAAGAAGACATACATAAAAGTATGAAAAATGTGAAAGAATATATAAACACTTGTGATTTATCATTATTCCTCTACGAATAGATAATTGTTACACTTATATTATCGTTTAGATTTTTAAAATCCTTCAAGTCCTCATGAATAATGTTTTTTATTTGAGGGAAAAATTAATAAAATTAATAATAATTATTGTAGAAGTGTAAAAAATGTAAATATATATATATATATATATATACAATCACTCATATATAAAAAAATGTAAATGCTTTAAATTAAAGATCAAATTTATTCATTACATTCTTATAGGGTCGAGGAGTGTATATGTACAAAATCATTAAAATCAAAGCTAAAATAACCGTTAAATTGTGATTTTTCATTTATAACTGTCGAAAACTTTTGTTCCGTTACGTAATCTCTGAATGTTTGTTTTTTAAGTTTGCAATCTCGGAATGTGTACAAATAAGTTTGACGGTTGGATCGTTGAAAAAAGTTTCGTAGAATGCATATTGCGTCAAAACGGTATATTAAACAAACACTTAGAGTTAATATTATACTTCTATTAAGTATAAAATAAGTTTTTGTGGTATCCACTAGTGTAAATACTTTAAATTAAAGATCAAATTTATTCATTACATTCTTATAGGGTTGAGAAGTGTATCTGTAAAAAATCATCAAAATCGGAGCTAAAATAACCGTTAAATTGTGATTTTTCGTTTATAATCGTCGAAAACTTTTGTTCCATTACGTAATCTCTGAATGTTTGTTTTTTACGATTTTTTACGTATGCGATCTTGGAATGTGTACAAATAAGTTTGACGGTTGGATCATTGAAAAAAGTTTTGTAGAATGCATATTGCGTCAAAACAATAGATTAAACAAACACTTGGAGTTAATATTATACTTGTATTAAGTATAAAATAAGTTTTTGTGGTATCCACTAGTGTAAATACTTTAAATTAAAGATCAAATGTATTCATTACATTCTTATATGATCGAGGAGTGTATCTGTAAAAAAATCATCAAAATCGGAGTTAAAATAACCGTTAAATTGTGATTTTTCGTTATAAATTGTGATTTTTCGTTTATAACCGTCGAAAACTTTTGTTCCGTTACGTAATCTCTGAATGTTTATTTGTTATGATTTTTTACGTATGCAATCTCGAAATGTGTACAAATAAGTTTGATGGTTGGATCGTTAAAAAAAGTTTCATAGAATGCATATTGTGTCAAAATAGTAGATTAAACAAACACTTAAAGTTAATATTATACTTTAATTAAGTATAAAAAACGTTTTTGTGGTATCCACTAGTGTAAATACTTTAAATTAAAGATCAAATTTATTCATTACATTCTTATAGGGTTGAGGAGTGTATCTGTAAAAAATCATCAAAATCGGAACTCAAATAACCGTTAAATTGTGATTTTTCGTTTATAACCGTCGAAAACTTTTGTTCCGTTACGTAATCTCTGAATGTTTGTTTTTTATGATTTTTTACGTATGCGATCTCAGAATTTGTGCAAATAAGTTTGACGGTTGGATCGTTGAAAAAAGTTTTGTAGAATGCATATTGCGTCAAAACGGTAGATTAAACAAACACTTAGAGTCAATATTATACTTCTATTAAGTATAAAAAAAGTTTTTGTGGTATCCACTAGTGTAAATACTTTAAATTAAAGATCAAATTTATTCATTACATTCTTATAAGGTCGAGGAGTGTATCTGTAAAAAATCATCAAAATCGGAACTCAAATAACCCTTAAATTGTGATTTTTCGTTTATAACCGTCGAAAACTTTTGTTCCATTACATAATCTCTGAATGTTTGTTTTTTATGATTTTTTACGTATGCGATCTCGGAATGTGTACAAATAATTTTGACGGTTGGATCATTGAAAAAAGTTTTGTAGAATGCATATTGCGTCAAAACAGTAGATTAAACAAACACTTAGAGTTAATATTATACTTTTATTAAGTATAAAATAAGTTCCACTAGTGTAAATACTTTAAATTAAAAATCAAATTTATTCATTACATTCTTATAGGTCGAGGAGTCTATCTGTAAAAAATCATCAAAATCGGAGATAAAATAACCGTTAAATTATGATTTTTCGTTTATAATCGTCGAAAACTTTTGTTCCATTATGTAATCTCTGAATGTTTGTTTTTTATGATTTTTTACGTATGCGATCTCGGAATGTGTACAAATAAGTTTGACGGTTGGATCGTTGAAAAAAGTTTCGTAGAATGCATATTGCGTCAAAACGGTAGATTAAACAAACACTTAGAGTTAATATTATTATACTTCTATTAAGTATAAATTAAGTTTTTGTGGTATCCACTAGTGTAAATACTTTAAATTAAAGATCAAATTTATTCATTACATTCTTATAGGGTTGAGGAGTGTATCTGTAAAAAATCATCAAAATCGGAGCTAAAATAACCGTTAAATTGTGATTTTTCGTTTATAACCGTCGAAAACTTTTGTTCCGTTACGTAATCTCTGAATGTTTTTTTTTCATGATATTTTACGAATGCGATCTCGGAATGTGTACAAATAAGTTTGACGGTTGGATTGTTGAAAAAAGTTTTGTAGAATGCATATTGCGTCAAAACAGTAGATTAAACAAGCATTGAGAGTTAATATTATACTTCTATTAAGTATAAAATAAGTTTTTGTGGTATCCACTAGTGTAAAGACTTTAAATTAAAGATCAAATTTATTCATTACATTCTTATAGGATTGAGGAGTGTATCTGTAAAAAATCATCAAAATCGGAGATAAATTAACCGTTAAATTGTGATTTTTAGTTTATAACCGTCGAAAACTTTTGTTCTGTTATGTAATCTCTGAATGGTTGTTTGTTATGATTTTTTACGTATGCGATCTTGGAATGTGTACAAATATGTTTGACGGTTGGATCGTTGAAAAAAGTTTTGTAGAATGCATATTGCATCAAAACGGTAGATTAAACAAACACTTAGAGTTAATATTATACTTGTATTAAGTATAAAATAAGTTTTTGTGGTATCCACTAGTGTAAATACTTTAAATTAAAGATCAAATTTATTCATTACATTCTTATAGGTCGAGGAGTCTATCTGTAAAAAATCATCAAAATCAGAGATAAAATAACCGTTAAATTGTGATTTTTCGTTTATAACCGTCGAAAACTTTTGTTCCATTACATTAATTAAAAAACTATTAAAGACTTTAGGTAAGCGAAAATATACTTAAAACAAAATTGCGTTTTTATGTTTTGGATGTGATAATATGGAATGTATATACTTATTTAGTATTATGTTTTTCATTTGATTATTTATTGGTTTAAAATATATTTTCCTTAACGGGTAACGGGTTGGGTCATATTACCTGTTAATATTATCGGGTCGATTTCGGGTCGGGTCATTTTACCCGTTTATTTTAACGGGTGTTACACGACACGACCCGTTAAGATATCGGATATGCCACGAAAACGACACGAACACGGAAAACACGACACGAATGCCATATCTAATGCTAACCATCTCTCTCTTTTTCCTTTCCAGTTTTGTCTTCTTTCCTCATCACTTGACACGTAAAATTATTTTACACATTAAACTAAAGTTTTTGAAATTACAAATTTTATTTTTCTAATTAACACTAGTTGCTTATTCTAATAACATGGTTGCAATAGAAGTTATATTGCAGTTCAATGGATTCAAAGAGATGCAATATATCAGCTTTGTTTGTCAGATGAATTTCTAAATTTGCACTAGTATTTGTTCGTTAGATATCTCGCAAATATTATGGTGAGAGTCATTGTTAGACAATGAATTCAACATCGATGGGTGACAATAGGATGTGAGTAAGGGATAGACAATGGTTATGACGGGCGGGTAACTGCGGTTATTTATTCATAAGCATTTAATATTTTACTTATATAACCGTTTACTCGTTGGGTAATTGCATAAACGGGTATACACATATCTATAATTGTTTGTAAACAATTATCCATACTCATAACTGCGTACCCAGTTAACCATAACCGTATATATCTGTTTACTCATTTTTTAACCATTTACACTTTTTTTTACCCGTCTACATGTTTTTTTAACAACTTAAAATTTTTAAAAAAATGTCATAATTTTC